TGGTGAGGAGCCCCCACCGATCCCATAATCCTCCGGGGTACGTGGCAGGGTGGAACCGCACAGCACCAAGATGCACTGCAGCGGCTTCCAGTTCCTCCCAGTTCCTCCCAGTCCTTCCCAGCGATCCCTGGAGCCCCCAGTGCCTCCTTAGTGACCCCCAAACTCCCTCAGTGTCTTCCAGTCAACTTCCAGTGACAGCTAGTTCTTCCCAGTCAATCCCCAATCCCTCCCAGTGCTCTTCCAGTGACCTCCAATGCCTCCCAGTCACCTCCCACTGACACACCCCCCCAGTGCCTCCCAGTCACCTGCTAGTGCCTCCCAGTCAACTTCCAGCTCCTCCCAGTGCTTCCCAGTCACCCGCCAGTGCCTCCCAGTCAACTTCTGCTGACAGTTCTTCCAGTCAACCCCCAGAGCACTCCAGTAACTCCCAGTCCCCCCCAGTCCCTGTCAGTGCTCTCCCAGTCCCTCCCAGTGTTCTCCCAGTGACCCCCAGTTCCTCCGTCTCCCCCCCAGTGACCCCCAGAGCCCCCCAGTCACACACCAGTTCCTCCCAATGCTCTCCCAGTCCCTCACCGTGCTCTCCCAGTGAGAACCCCCAGTTCCTTCCAATCACCCGCCAGTGGCCCCAGTGCCTCCCAGTCACTCCCCAGTGCTTCCCGGGGCCCCCCAGTCAACTTCCATTGACAGCTAGTTCTTCCCAGTCAACCCCCAGTGCACCCCAATAATTCCCAGTGCGTCCCAGTCCCTCCCAGTGCTCTTTCAGTGACCCCAGCCCCTTGACCTCTGCCCCTGGCGGGAGCAGGGGGAGCTGGATGTAGAGGTGCTGGTGCTGATGGGCGCCATCCTGGCAGCCAACCCCAGTGGGGGAACCTGGCCCGTGAGCCTACCAACTGGTCCAGACCGGGGGCACTCAGGACCACTGGGAGGGGATGCTGGGGATGAGGGGGGATTGGGATGAACTGGGAGTTACTGTGAGTAGACTGGCAGGCACTGGAAGGTTGCTGGGGGGGGGATCTATGGACATGGGGGAGCACTGGGATGTACTGGGAGGCGATTAGTGGGTACTGGGGAGCACTGGGAGGAGTTTAGGGAAGGATTTCTGGGTACTGGGGGGCATGGGATGCACTTGGAGAGGATTAGTGGGTACTGGGGAGAACTGGGAGGTTACCTGTAGGGGATTTGTGGGCACTGGGGGGCACTGGGAGGTTACTGGGAGGAGAGTTATGGGCACTGAAGGGCACTGGGAGGTTATTGGGAAGGGAGTTGTGGGCACTGGGGAGCACTGGGAGGTTATTGGGAAGGGAGTTATGAGCACTGGGGGGCACTGGGAGGTTGCTGGGCGGTGCCTGGGGGGGGCACTGGGCAGAACTGGGCTTTACTGGGCTGTCACTGGGGTCACCACAGGATGCCAGGGGAGCTTTCCTTCATCAGGAGGTGCTTGGGGGTGAACCCCCAGTCCTACGAGGCCCAGCACCACCGGGGCTGGGTGCTGCGCCACGCCCCCACCGAGCGCACCCTCTGCAAATGCCTGCTGGCCACCGACCCCTGCAACTGTGAGTGCATACTGGGAGGCACTGGGGGGGCTTTGGGGTGATTGGGGGGACTTATGGGGCACTGGGGGGCTTTAAAGCCTGAATTTCTATCTTAGAGGGCACTGTTTTTTACTGATTTGGGATTGGAGGGAACCTAAAAACACTGGTTTGTACTGAGATGCTCTGGGAGGAGGGTTTGGGGACTGCTGGGCCACGCTGGGAGGGATATAAGAGCATCTGAGCTGACTGGTCTGTGCTGAGAGGGAAGGGGGAGCTGCTGGGCTGTACTGGAGGGAGTTTTGGGGGTGCTGAGTCAGCAGCTCAAAGTTAGAGCTAACCTGAGGGTTGCTGGGCTTACTGGTTTATATTGGGAACTGGTGGAAGAGGACTTGGGGGGCGGTCTCGGGACCTACTGGGAGAGACTTTTGCAGGTGCAGGGCTCACTGGTTTATGGCAGGAGCTGGCAGAAGAAAGTCTGGGGGGTCTTAAACTACACTAGGAGTGGGTTTTGGGGTGATAAGGGTTACTGGTTTATACTGGGAGTTACTGGAATGGGGCTAAGGGGCTCGGGGGGAGCACCAGCACCCACTGGTCCTTACTGGTGGTCCCCAGCCCATGCCTGGGAGCATAGCTGGGCACTGGTGGCCGAGGAGGACCCCCAGGCTGAGCTGGCCTTCGTTAGGGCCCTGCTCAGGCACGACTTTTCCAGCCTCTCCTCCTGGTACCACCGGGGCCGGCTGCTGGTGCCTGCCCAGATGCCGGGGTCCCCTGGGGGTGGGGCGCTGCCACCCTACCACCTCCAGACAGGTGAGTCCCCAACACCCCCCTGGTCCCAAAAACACGGGGGAACCCCCCCAAATGCTGGGGTCCTCCCTGGGTGCTGGGGTTCTCCTGAATGCCTGGGCCCACACCCACGTGCCAGGGTCCCCTTGCTGACCCTCCCTTTCTGCTTCTTTCCCCCACAGAGCTGGAGCTGGTGCAGGACGCCATCTTCACTGACCCCAATGACCAGAGCGCCTGGGTCTACCTGCGCTGTATCCTCTCCTGCGGTACGTCCAGGTCCTGTCCCCTCCCTGAATGCCTGGGTCCCCCCTACAGCCTCCTCCCTGCTGAGCGTTCTCTGCCTCTATGTCAACTGGGAGGACGTGATGCTGGTGGTGACCTTCAACCCGCCCCGTCATAGTGAGCCCAGACACCTGGGTCCCACAGCTGGGGACAGGGAGCTCAGCACTGATGGCAAAGGTGGACAGCTCTGCCCTAGAAGGGGCATGGCATTCGAGGGAGTTAGGCTTGTACCTGCTCCAAGTGGAGCCTTATCTATGAGGCACAAGGATAAGTCCACACTGGAGAAGGTACACCTTGAATCATCAGCGGCTGTGTGTGAGGTCATGCTGGAGCACCTCAAAGCGTGTGGCCAAGGATAAGCCCACGACAGAGCAGGTACTCCCCGGGAGGGACTGCAGCCATGGGTGAGGCCATGTTGGAGCAGGTTTACTTCTGAAGGGACTGTGGCTGTGGGTAAGGCCATGCTGGAGCAGGGGCAAGGGGAAGAGTTCATTGCAATGTTAAACCCTATGGTCTGGCCCAAAGGGGCCGGGGTGGAGGCTGTAATGGAAATACCTTTAAATTGTTGTAACCCATGATTTGAGTTGCATGTTACGGGAATTACTAAAGCAGGAACCACCTGAACCAATGGAGGAGAAGGCTTCCAAGAAGCAGGGCAAGCACAGCAGTGACCCGACCTGAGCTACTTTGGTGCCCAGTAACTCCACACAACACACCACCTCTCCTGTCCTGACTGACCACCATCACAGATGGAGCCCAGAGTCATGCCCTAAATGAACTCAGTGGACATTTGTGGACATTTATGGACATTTTACAGAGGTGGGCCACAGGCTAAGGGAATGAGATCTGTGTATTGTATCAAAGGATGGGAAGGGGCGGGTGGTTAATGAGGATGCATTGGATAGTGTGGGACCTGAGCACAATGTAAATGGTATGGAATAAGGGGGGAGAACATGCTGGTTTCAGCTGGGGTAGAGTTAATTTTCTCCGCAGTAGCCAGTGGGGGGCTATGGTTTGGATTTGTGCTGGAAACAGCATTGCTAACACAGGGATGTTTTAGCTATTGCTGAGCAGGGCCGACACAGAGTCAAGGCCTCTTCTGCCTCTCCCCCCACCCCAGCAGCGAGCAGGCGGGGGGGCACCAGGAGCGGGGAGGGGACGTGGCTGGGACAGCTGACCCCAGCTGCCCACAGGGCTGTCCCACACCGTATGGCGCCGTGCTCAGCACCTAAAGCTGGGGGAAGAAGGAGGAAGGGGGGGTGATGTTCGGAGCGATGGCGTTTGTCTTCCCCAGTCACCGTTACGCACGATGGAGCCCCGCTTTCCTGGGGATGGCTGAGCACCTGCCTGCCGGTGGGAAGGAGGGAATGAATTCCTTGGTTTGCTTTGCTCGCGTGCGCGGCTTTTGCTTTACTTATTAAACTGCCTTTATCGCAACTCACGAGTTCTCACTTTTACTCTTCTGATTCGCTCCCCCATCGCACGGGGGGGAGCGAGCGAGCGAGCGAGCGAGCGGCTGGGTGGTGCTTAGTTGCCGGCTGGGGTTAAACCACGGCAGGGGTACAAGTTACACTCCAGAGATAACAGCGTGCCAAAAGAGACCCTCTAAAGCCTCAGGATGAACTGAGGCAAGATAAAATAAATAAAATGCCGAAAGAAAGTTTAAATAGCAACAGGACATGTGACAAACAAGAAAGAATTAAAAAGCAGGGATAGACACCTTGATAAAAGTAGACATAGAAAGAAAATTTACAAAGCAGAAGGGTACAAAAGTAAAGACAACAAACTAGATAAAAATAGACGAGGAAAGAAGATTTGAAAGCTATGGGGTACAGGAGAAACAGGAAGCAATTAAAAAAACAGGGAGAGACATCAAACTAAAACAGAGACATAGCAAGTACATTTTAAAAGTGACAGGGTGCATTACAGACAGGAAAGAATGAAAAGATAGGGACAGGGAGCTTGATAAAAATAAACATAGAAACAAAATTTGAAAATCCAAGGGATTACAAGGGGAAAGAATTAAAACATAAGGACAGCGAACTAAATAAACAAAGACATAGATAATTTAAAAAGCAAGGGCACTAAGGAAATGCAAGAAATAATAACAAATAAAAGACAGTAAACTGGATAAAAGCAAACAGAAAATATAAAAGCGGCGTGTTAAATGACAGACAAGAAGGAATTAAAAACTAAGGACTGGCCTGTTGATAAAGGTGGTCACGGAAAGCAAATTTTAAAAGCAACGAGGTACAGGACAGACAGGGAAAAAAGTAAAATGGGGACACCAAAGTAGACAAAAGTAGACATAGAACCAAAATTTTAAAAGCCAAGGGATTAAGAGTTGAAAAGATTAAAAAAAATACAGACAGCAAACTAGAACGGAGACATAGAAATACAATTTTTAAAAAGGTGGCACTAAGGAAGGACAAGAAATAATTCAAAACTGAAGACATCAAACGGGATAAAAGTAGACATAGAACATTTTAAAAGTGACAAGGACTAGGAGAAGAACAAAAAAATAAAGAATAGGGACAGCAAACTAAATAAACGGAGACATAGAAAGTAAATTTTTAAAGCAACAGGGTACGCGACAGGTAGGAAACAAATAAAAAAATCGGGGTAGGGAGCTTGACAAAAGTAGGCATAGAGGGGAAATTTAAAAAGCGACGAGGTACAGGACAGACAGGAAAGAACCAATACCAGAGACAGCAAACGAGATAAAAGTAGACATAGAAGCAACATTTTAAAAGCCAAGGGATTAAGAGAGGAAAGAATTAAGCAACATTGATAGCAAATAAAAACAGACATAGAAAGAAAGTTTTAAACGGCACTGCACTAAAGAAAGACAAGAAACAATGAAGAAATTAAAACAGTGAATGGGATAAAGGTAGAAAGAAAGAATACGAAATAAGATAAGGAAAAAATTAAAAAACAGCAACGGTAAACTAAAACGAAGATGTAGAAATAACATCTAAAAAACAACAACACTAAGAAAAGACAAGAAATAATAAAAAAGACAGTGAAGGGAATAAAACTGGCATAGAAACATTAAAAAAGCAATAGGTATTAGCAAAATAAAGGAAAAAGTTATTAAATCGGGACAGCAAACTCAAGGATGGAGAAAGAAAAGGTAAAAAGTGTGAGTATGAAGGAAAGATAAATAATTAAAAAAAACAGGAAAGGGAATAAAAATAGGCATAGAAAGAATGTTTAAAAAGTGAGCAGGATTAGGGAAATCAAGGG